AGGAGGAGGAATATCATGATTATTTATTACAGGAAGTAACCCTAACCCAGGAAACGTAACCTGAAAGAAGATGACGTTAGAAAATGGAAAACTGTGTCCGCCATTTTTGTAAAATCCAACAGTTCAGGTGGAAAAACGGCTTTTCTACCTGAAACAATCCGATTAATTGATTATAGAAATAATCGTCAACTAATAGTATTTAATTAATTGTTAACTGGAGTATAGAGACTCTAAAACAGGCCTTTAGCTGACAGAGCGACTCCCTGAGAGCAGGAATTATACCAAGATTGTAAAAAAATATATATAAACATTTTGAAGTTATGATAAAAAAAATCAATCTGCTCTATAATCCAGAACTCTTAAAAGGGAAAAGTTGAAGTAAAAACCTTTAATGAATCTTTTGCCATCTGATTAATGGATGATTGAAATGTTTAGTTGCAGCCGTACGCTGATGATCTGCTCTTGTTTTTTCTCGTTAAGCTTCTTCAGGTGTGAATTGGCGCCATAAAAATGAACTGAACTATCAAATGATGATCTGATGCAGAACTTTAGTAGAAATCATCTAATTAGATTTTATCACTCTGGTAACAGAACAGTCTCTAATCAGCGTGCCCCAGGCCAGCGGGGGCTACAGTTCGGCTCACCTCAAACAGTGGTTTATGGTGAACTCATTCTAGCTGCTGTGTTTCTATGTCCTGCCCAGCTGCGCCGCTGGACACCATCCAGTCCCTGGCAGCGTTCTACGTGAGCTGCATCAGACAGCAGCAGCCCGACGGCCCCTACAGGATCGCCGGCTACTCCTTCGGAGCCTGCGTGGCCTTTGAGATGTGCTCCCAGCTGCAGGCCCAGAACCACGCTGTGGACTACCTGTTCCTGCTGGACGGCTCCCACTCCTACGTGGCGGCGTACACACAGGTCAGAGGAGGGTTCTGATTATTCTGACCAAAGTCTGATTTCATGCGTCTGCGGTGGACGGTTCCCTGACCCTGGGTCTGCTTTCAGAGCTACAGGGCTAAGCTGACCCCGGGTAAAGAGTCGGAGGCCGAGACCGAGGCCATGTGTGCCTTCATCCAGCAGTTCACCGGCATCGAATACAACAAGGTACGCCGCTCAGGCTCTGAACATTATTCCTCTTTAGCTGCGATTCCAGCAGGAAGGTCTGCAGCTCCTGTCCTGCAGCTTGAGACCCCTCTGTTCATTAGGCTAATGCTAACTGCTGTAATGCTAGGCAGACATCAGGTTCCCTATTAAAGAACTAAACAGTCAGCTTTTATTTTGACGGGCTGGAGCTGTCAGACTTCCTGCTTTTTTATCCTCAGACTGGTCCTGTCACTGGAAACCAGTGGCAGCTTATTATGGGATGTAGGCGGAGCAGAGAAAAGGCTCTTTGTTCTGGATGTGAAGATCAGAAACGTCTAAATGAATCTTTGTTCTGGTCGTTCTTCTAACTCTCAGCTGTTCCTCTGATTCTGCAGCTGCTGGAGAATCTGCTTCCACTTTCAGACCTGAAGGCTCGAGTCAAGGTGGCCGTGGACCTCATCACCTCCAGCCACAAGAACATCAATCGCGACTTGCTGGACTTTGCAGCCTCCACCTTTTATCAGAAGCTAAAAGCAGCTGATGGATATGTTCCTGCAACAAAATACCATGGCAACGTGACGCTGCTACGGGCCAAAACCAGCAGTGACTACGAGCAGAGCCTGGGAGAGGACTACAAGCTTGGCGAGGTAAGGACTCCTCTGGTCACTTACCAAACCAGAAACCACGTCTGTTATGATCTCTGATAGTTTGCAGCCTGCAGCATCTCATCTGTGCTTTGACTAGACCAATTGTGCAGGACTGCAGTGCTAGGTGGGTCTGCTGGGATGTTTTAGGGATTGGGCTTCACCCCTTGCTCACACTGGCTCCGGTGCGGTTACCGAGCCGACGGAGA